CCTAATACTGGCTGGTGATGTCAACAATTTTGGTCCTGTCTCTTATACACATCTAGATGTGTATAAGAGACAGATGTCACCGTTATTGTCAAGACACACTCACTCTCTGAAATCGTTTTAAACAGCTTTAATGCTCAGATCGTCGGAGCGCCTGGGGCCACGCCCCCCTCTTGACCCAGCTTGGCTCCGCCTTTGGACCCCGCCCCCACCCTTTCAGCCAAATGGTGTAGTCACTCACGCATTTCAAATCTCTCAAGTTGGTAAAGACCCCAAGTTCAGATTCATCATTTTGTGTGACTCTCGGGAATGCTCCACGATTCATAGAGTACAGGTGACGGTGCCAAACGGCCAAATTTATTAGCATACACCACAATACCCAACTCCAATGATGCCAGAAAATCATGAATATATTGTTGTCAACTCATTTCATACAATAAAAATAATAACGAGGTGATAACAAATAATACTGTTAGGGGAAGGGGATTTTTATAATATGCAGACTAAAAAAGAACATAATTGGAAAACTTTGATTCAATGGCATGCAGCTATATGCCAATATTCAATAACTATGCACACTTCTCTAATTACGAACTTACGGAAATAGACAAAAATACTACGGAAAGTTATCATAGATCCATAAATAAATAGGTCTAAAGTCCAGAACATATGACATTTCCATCAGGACCTTTGGTGTCCCTAGACAACTCATACTTGTTGGATAACTGATAAATTATTTTGAAAACTAAGAAAAAGTGGCCCGTAAATCTTCATCCTGTCCCGTTTGGAATGGAGTTTAATAATTTGGAAGCTAAGACGCTTTCCTTCCAATCCTAAGGTCCTGGGTTCAGTTCCTGTTGGTGTTGCAGGATTTTTTTTCTCATGACCAAAGCAACTCACACTCACTAAACCTCATATTGAGATTTAGTTTGTGTAAAGTATTGTGTGTGTATGTTTGTCTTGTGAAAGGGATTGTCACCTACAAAGTAGGACAGTGACATATTCGCTATTGACAATCCATGGTGCATGTTTTGTGTGCTCAAACAAATAAAATAATGTAAAAGTATGTTTGAAATACCAAATCGAATCAGACCCGCTTTCAAATTGGGTCCAATCGTCCTGAAATGTGAACCATGAATCTTCATTCTGTCCAGTTTGTTTGAAATTCCACAGCTGTGCCTGCAATTTTGAGCAACTCGTATCTTGCACTCAAGGCGAATTATTAGGTGTTACGGAAATTTTTCATTTACTACTGAAATTTGAAGACATAGTTACAGAAGTACATTTTACAACTTGAGAAGAGTGAATATGTTTACAGTTTTCAAATTTGCTAGTTTACAATCTTAGAGCAGCGTGCATACTTAACACTCACACACACGCATATACCTATTACATACAACATGATTATGAAATTCATAATTCATTTTTTCATATTTCCTAATAGAGAATGCAGAAGAGAACGCACACAACAATGTTGTCTACCAACACTATGAATTCATTCATATAGCATATAGCATTCATATAGCATAGAATATACATAGGAACTAATCAAGACGTTATACAAATCCCACTTATTATGATTAATTAAAAGACAGTGGAAATAGCCAATAGATTATTAATACAATAGGGAAAGGGAAATTTGTGTTATAGTTGTAAAATATACACTTTCAAATTAAAATAATAATTCTGCAACACTTGGCTTCAAAAGAATGACTGGATTGAAACCAAATGTAGAATTTTGAAAAGCAGAATTTTATTTGTAGCCCTGGGTGGATATCATGGGGAACAACCAGAACATGGGGAGCCAACAGGGATGGATGGAAAGATCATGAAGCACATAGCACAATGCAGATTGCTAACTTTAAAATAGATTTTTACAATGCTATAAATTATGTAAAAAAATACTTCTTTTAAACTAGTTTTCATATTATTCTAATCAATTAAAAATCAAGCTTATCCCTTCCTCCTCTTCCTCTTCCCCTACCCCGTCTTCCCCTGCCACTGCCTCCTCCTCTTCCTCCTCCTCCCCCTCGCGTCCCTCCTCTTCCACGTGTGGAACTAACAGGTCTCGCTGCTTGGTGGAATGTTTTAATGAGAGAGGAGAAGATAGGGTCACAGAAGGCACAGCCTAAGTGGTGTGTCTCTTCTCCTTCTAGTGGAGTCTTGGCCTGAAAAAAAAAAATAAGAAAATTAAATAATAGTGTTTGTTAAGCATTTTTATTTAGTGACTTTGGCAAATATAATATATGATTCAGATTAAGAAAAAAAAATATTTTGAATGCCCTAAGTATTATATTAAGAGGGTTGATAATATTTACATCTTTTATTTGCAATTTAATTCTGATAATTGTCTATAATCAGATGTTTAGTTCCAGTATTTATAACACACAATAATGATAATATTAAATAATTATTATACATTAAGTAATAATTAAAATAGCACTAGGGCAATATCAGACCTTGTTAAATTCTACAGACATTATTGCAGCATTACAGCCCTCACAGCGACTATCAGCAACTAATGCTATCTTGTGCGCATCGGTAAATAGTCGAACCATGAAAGAGCACCTTAAAGAAACAAAAATACCAGGTTAATGGTTAATTAAACAAATCACCAGTTATGTTGTAAGAGTCTATGATTGAGATACCTGGATAAATTAATGCCCTATCACCTCCTTCACCAGGATCTGTTAAAGGCTAGGAGAACAAGGAAGTTGTTCATTCATGCAGGACATATAAAGATGAACTACGGCAGTTCAATTATTTTCTTTTATGGCCAAGAGGTAAGTTTGAACTAAAACATATGCATTTATCCAGGCAAGTATTCACGAAATAGACACACTTTGTAAATAACAAGCATACAGCCCATTTAGAAGATACAGATGAAGGAACTCATGAGTACCTGTTACACGCCATCTTCCACTTTGGGGCCGAGTTGACATCAAGGACCAGAATCCCGTACTCACACTCCCCGCACTTAGCAACCCCTGTCTTTGAGAGGGAGTGCTGGCAGGTTGGATGGGTACACTCATTGCATCCGCTGCCCTTCTTCATCCCTTGAAATGGAGGATGACTGAAGCAGTAAGGACACAAAGGATAATTCTGTTTGGATGGAAAATGAAGAGAAGTACAGTTGTAAAGCTTAAGCTAAAAATGTAATCTTCCAAACATATGCAACAACATCTTGAAGGCAACATTGGAGGAAGGTGGGGGGGGGGGGAGACCAGGATCAGGCCCTCTGGCCTCACCGCTGATGTCACAATCCCTATGACACAATTTTCCATCATGTTTCATTGTGAACAAGACTACAGTGATAGTCGAAAACTCAAAACGGAAGTTCCTTTGTTTTCTGCTTTATCCAGAGATATAAAGTTTGAATGATGAATCTGCATCAGTCGAAAATTAACATAGTTTAGTGGAAGTTTTTCTGCAATTTTACTTTTTTTTTATTTACGACTATTCTAATCTCCATGATAATGACCATAATCTCCACGAAAATCTCCATAATAATCTCCATGATACCCTTAATAATATTGAAGATAATCTCTATACACTTTATTATAATTTTCATAATCTTCTGATAATTATGATAATATCTATAATCTCCATGATGATCATTTACCAAAAAAATGTTAATACCCTTCATAAATCTCCATGATAATCTCTGGGGTATTCTGAATCATAATCATCATGCTAACTTTTATGAACATGCCCACAATGATCTTTATCATAATCCCAATGATTATCAAAATAAAAGGAAGAATTAACACTGGAAAAACAGATCAATGATCAAAATCAAATATCAATAAAAAAAATTAATTACAAAATACTCAATGAATTAAGTTTGCAAGATCTTACCTTGCCAGACTTGGTACCAGAGGAATACATGACAAGTTCAAAATCGTCTAGAGGGCATTTTATTTCCTTATATAGTTTAATAACACCATTATGTGGTAGACTGTAGGTCTCGTTGCATGTAGCACAATGAAGACGGCTTGGCTTAGCTTGAATATACTTCATATAACGATGGCATTTGCCACACCTATCAGGTAAACAATACAAATATGAATTAACAGCAAAATGTTCCATTGACTCTAGGTCAATAAACTGGAGCTATGACCTGGCAGATAAAGTGCCCGCCTTCACAATTCTAAGACTTTGGGCTTGATTTATAACCACAACTAATAACCTTCTTCAGTACAATGAGGCTAATAGCATGACCTAAGCATGAACTTGTAACCAGTTTGGCACGGCAATAAAGGTGCAGTTTCTCCACCCTCGAGGTTGAGGTTTCAATCGCTCACTGTGCATTTCGCTTGTGTCCTTGAGCAAAGCATTTTATCTGCACTGATTCTCTCTATCCAGGAATATAAATGGGTACCTGGTGAGGTTGCCTGCTACTGTGCCAATAGCGATAAAAAGCACTTATATAATGGTTCACCGCAACATAACATTGATATTTTTATATAAAAAAACTGTACCTTGAAAGAGGTTTACCAGAGGCAGCAAGGGGTGAGAAGGACACCTCAAATAATTCGTCCATGTCCTTGATCTGTTCTACAAAGTAACTAAATTTACGCTGGAAGATTCCCAGTGTGTGATCTAGCACCAAATTGAAATCTGCCTTGCCGGCTGCAATCAGGTTCAGCTGTTGCTCCACCGCTGATCGCATGGTTGGTAGAGACAAGTCTGGGTCAATCTATGGATAAAACAACAGACTGAATAAAATGTAAATATGTACAATGTTCTCTCTATATCTTACACTCTCTATGTAAATACAGGAAATGACAATAAGGGTACATACAGTATGAGCATTGGCATAGTTATGAGATGCTAGAATGAATAGTTCTAATTTCTTCATGGGGTTTATTCTGGTAATACTGTATTCCAATGCCCATAGGCATATAGCCTCACTCCTTTGTCCAGGTAAGTACCTCACACTACCAACATCAGTGCTGACTTGTGTATTTTGCATAATGATCACTCTCAATTAATGGATGCTTAATATCAGTTCTAAACAGTATTGTATGTTGACAATTTTATGCTCTGAAAGCAAGCATTTATAATAATTTAACATTACCTTTTGATACCCATGCACCAGAACTATACCAAGATCTGTAGGTTTCAACTTCCTACCAGATACCACTGATACATAATTCCGTTGACAGATGTTGTTGATGTGAACTGGTATACTGGCATCTGTTCCGATTCCGTGTTTCTCCATCAGGGTGATCAGTTCGCTCTCTGTCAGGTAATCGGGTGGAGAGGTTTGCTTCTCAACTAGTTTCACCTGAACAATAACACCATGTAAAAACAGATGTTATATGAAGGCATTACTTTACATGTGACACTGGATATATGCACAGTACACACAAACAAACTTAATACAGTGGTGTCAGATAGCCTAGAACGGCAGGATCAAGTTAAGTCACTCTGAGCATGCTCGACCTAAGTATAAGAACTTTACACATATTTAATATAAAAAGCAGAGTAACAAGAGAAGCAGATCACGATTTACCTCATCTACATTGCACACTTGACCTTCTTGGAAGTCAGGTAAGTTCTCCTCGCTAGGTATCTGCTGCCAGTGCATAACCGATGTGTACCCCAAGTCCAGCAGGGTTTTGCCTGTACAAGTGAAGCTCTCATCTCCAACAGCAAGCTTAGCCGTTGTTTGTAAGTACTTGCAATCATAACTTATCTACATGAAATAGCCGAAAGATAGAGAGTGGAATTATAATAATAAAAACAATAACATCATGAATTATAATGGTAATTATATTGCACTCTGCATTATGAAACCCTATGTACATTACAAGATGTATACTCTAATTAGAATAAATAAATCAAGATTTGCAATTGTAATCAAAGGCACAAAATAACCAATTTGCAAGAAACGAATGTTCTGCAATCCAGTGTACGAGCATCGAACACCACTGTCCTGATTGCAAGGAATATTTTTAAATCAAGAATTAGCCAGAGCCACACCACACACTAAATGAACTGAATAACAGTATATCAGATGTATGTGATAACATCACCAAAATCTTATACCAAATTAAATATTATACAGTTAATTAAAATTTACTATTACTTCACAGATTTACAAAAATGGTGATGAACATAAAATGTTGATAATATTCTGAAGTTAAATGAACATAAATATAAACAAAATATACTCACAGTAGCAATAAAATGTCTTGTGATATAATCATACAGACGCCATGCCTCACCTCCTATCTCACTCTCACTTGCTGACCGCATTGGGGTGATTGGGGGATGGTCCCCTGCATCATGACCCTTTCTGTGGCAAAAATCACAAAAATGAAAAAGTAAACAGTTTTCCATAATGTACCTAATATTGTATTATTTGTTGAACACTTGAATTTCTTTTTTTTTTATTTCCCTCACATCCAACATCAAGTACACTTGCCACTTACAGGATGAGAATGATGCTTTATAAATCAAGCCTCTTTAAGAGGCTTAGGGAGTGGAGTTGATTTTAGCCGTGAGAAAAATCCTGCTGCGACAGGAATTGAAACCAGGTCCCTGGGATCAGAAAGCAAGCATCTTAACCACTGAGTTATTCACCTCCACTCAAAGTTGGTAGACTACCCCTGTCAAACATTGATCCAATATATTAATAACAATAAAATTAAATCTAATGGCTTAATGTATGTAATAACCTGTCTCTTATACACATCTAGATGTGTATAAGAGACAGACATATGATTATTAATATATTATTATTAATGTTTACCATCAATCGCCATTATTTGTATTGTTATTGATTCTGTTGGTTTAACCATTGAGCTAAATTATCTCTAATTTTTCCATGGATTGGCCTACCTTGCCTTGTTTATACCCTTTGTTAAAAGTTCCTTCACGTCATCACCCCAGTTTGGACTGTGTTGCTGCTGCCGTAATGTGCCTCTGAAACAAACAAGATAACAAACACATAGAATAAAAAACTGCCAAGACCCTTAGAGAAGATCCAAACTAAAATGTATTGTCATGAAAAACATAAACATTGTTTTGAAATTTAGTTTCCTTATAACAAAATGATCAAAACATCAAAAACATTGAAATAATACTGCATATAAGTATATACATACAAAATTGTAATGTAAACCATATACATGTATTGAACGTAAGTAAAATCTACGTTACCACTAACAATGTAAGTTTTAAAAATACAGTTCTTAATATAACAGCCATTGTTTCTGTTTTATTTTAGAGACTAAACAAATTATGCTTCAAAAAATCAAAAACTAATATAAGAATCATACTTCAGATCAAACTGCTCTGGATAATGTGTTGTCTCCGTACGTGGGTAGCTGATGTAGCCTTGTATATACAGTCGCTCTGCAATCTGCATTGTATGTTGAGGGCTCATGCCAAGACCTGAGCTTGCTACTCTCAACATTTCAACAGTGTTCAAAGCAAGAGGGCGCTGTTTTGATTTCTCCTTCTTTGACACACTCAAAACCCTTGAAAAATTAAGATCAGAAGAAGATATACATTATGATATACTGCATAACTGAAGTACATACTAAGCTTTTATTTTCATGTTATTAAAACCAGGAAAAAAAATTATGTGTTGTGCAACTGATTTTTCTAAGATACAAAAAGCATATTTGATGAAAAACTTGGTGGCGGTTAATAAGATTTTTGAATATTTAAAAACGGGCGAGGGGGGGGGGAGAGGTGGAAAAAGATTGGTTACGGCCGATTTTTAGTACTGTATGTTATTTTAGATTTGAGTTTGGATTCCAATCCCAGTAGTACATTTCAGAACTAATACTGAAGCATTTTTTCACATAGTTTGCTGCCAATTTTCATTTGTATGATAAATTTCTGTATACTATAACATCAAAACTGTATGGTTTGTGTATTTCAAAAATAATTTGTTAAAAACAACTTTTGTTAAAAATGTAAAGGACAGGCATTCAATTAATTCAATATTTATTCTACCAAGGTACAAAAAATATATATTTGTAGAAACAGTCTGGAATTTGAAGTAAACATTTGATCACTTTAACACCATATTTACCTAGCTGTATCAGTATTCTTCACCATGTTTAAAAACAGCTGAGCTACTTCTTTGTCAAACAAACGAACCCTTTCCCAATCCAAATTCAACTTCCTTCCACTTGGATGGTTTGCCTAGAAAATTAAAATACTTCCTAGAAAATTATTCATGTTTATATAATATTAATTTCAATCCCCAAAAATATGACACTTTAGGAGTTTCAAATGCTTATTTAATTGATTTTAGAGGGTTTTTTTTAGAGATTTTTACTAATATTGTGGTATACCCAACAGGGGCCTGATCACCTAGGCCCCCACTGGTGCCACCCCGGTCAAAAACAAAACATATCTACTCCTCAAGAGACATGGTATCCAGGGTCTCATAATGATCAACCAGGATGAAGCATTACCTTGTAATTTTCTTTTCTTTTTTTTTAGAATCTGGATTTATATTGCGCCTATGGTAGACCAAAGAATACACAAGGCACTGGTCATTGGATTGGCAAACCAACACATTTTTGTGCAACAATCTCTGCTCCCTGGGGAGTATCCCATGTCATGTTGCTTCACATGCACAACCTAATACTTTCAATGCCACACCATCCTACCAGGTACCCATTTATACGCCTGAGTGGAGAGAGGCAAACTTAAGTAGAGTGCCTTGCCCAAGCACAAAAGCAATGCGACGGGTGTCGGTCTCAAACTCCCGATCTCACAATTTGTTTTTTTCTTTACCTGTACTTGGAGCACCCAGTAGAGTTCTGGTTTGAATGACTGAATCTGGTCATGCCTGTTGACACAGAATCCAAGAGTTGGTGTCTGGCACGGCCCATATGAGATCAAGTTGCTATCAAGGTTACCATACTTCCCCTGCAAATAAAAACATATTGTTTATGATAATACTTTACTTAATTAAATTTTATATGTAACTTAAAGATAGAATAGAAAGAAAGAAAAAACATTGTTTCTAAATATGATTTAATTTTTTTTATGTTCAAAGTATATACAAGTTTTATACCAATCTGTGATGGTTGACAAACAAGGTTACTGTTGATTATATGATAAACTGAAATAGTATCTTTAATACCTTAACAATTTAACTGGATGTAAGAATATAAGAATTGCATACAGTTGAACTTGCCTATAGTCAAATCCAAAATGGTATTAAAAAATTGTTGGACTAGGATAATATTTGATTTACAGATCTTTATTTAATGGAAAACTTTTTGGCATGTAAAATAAGATCAACTTAAAAATTATTTAAGTTAGGTAAGCTTAACTATATAACTTTTTACTGAAGTATTATTATCTTTGCTTTAATCACTCACTTGGAAAAATTTGGTTTGGAAGCGAGTAAATGCACATCCGATACGCAGATCCAACTCCAACCTAGCGTCCACAGACATTGCTTCATTTCTGTTTGGATCACCAAGATTTTTCATTGCTCCTTTGACGTCAGATTCGGTAATAGCACTGAATTTTGCTCGGAATATTGTCTGGGAAAATACAATATAAATCAATATGAGTATTATTTTTTCACATTTTACAATGTATCTCAAAGTACTTCTTGTACTCAAAGAAGACATTTTGTATATTTACCAGAGACATATCTTTAACTGATCGATTATAACCAGTTACCACTACAGAATTTACCAAATTTTAATGTCCCTGACATAACTATCGAATATGCTCAAAAAAGGATGTATGTACTATATTGCAAGAAAACGAGATACATAGTAAGAAAGTCATATTTTGAAAGCTGCTAATAAATGTGAAGTTTACCTTCTCAGAACTTCTGGATCTATTCATATTTGGCTTGACAGCACCGATAACTTCAAAGCAGATATTTTCACCTTCCTTGTCACAATCTAACCACAAGATCAAGTAGTCAACTCCATGTCCCTATGTAACACATCAATTTACTTTTTATCAATGAATAAATACATACTCAAATCCTTGAAGATGTTTTTCCATAATTTTCCACCTACCAGGTACTCACTCAGCCCCCTGGGAAGCATCTCATTATATTTTAGTAACCAGTGGATTGGTAGTATCTATTAATCAGGAAGAGCCATTTGGACAACAGTTTCTATTCTGGTAACTGACCATTCTCAGCTGGCTACGCCAAGGAGTATGGAATACCAAGAGGTCTGACTGCCGAGGCTTCTTTAAAAACGGAGTCCTATCAAGAAAATTACTAGCATGAACTAGAGAGTGCACTTAAAAGAAAAACGTAAAAAGTCGCTCGAAAGTGTTTTCGAATTTCAAACTCTATGCTTATTCTAATAGGGTGCTCCATACCTTACAGTAGTACTTTTTTTCATCTCATTGTGTGCATGCAAAAAATCAGGGCAGCATTAGCTCAAGCTATTTTATACTCTTTGGCCATGCTTAGATACCCTAGCTTGCATTGTTGATGGGCTGTGAAGTGGCTGTCCTTGGTACATGAATTTCATGGCCTATACATATAATTATTAAAAAGTATCTCCTTACATAGAATGGCTTATTATTACAATTTCAGAGTTTGCCTACCTCTCGAGACAGAAATTTTGGCATTTGTAAATTTGGATTTGTTTCTTTCTTTTCCGTTTCAGCCTCAAATAATTCAACAGGATCAACGCGATCCCAGTTGTTGTATCGTGGCTGGAAATCCAATCCAAGAACGTGTCCACATACTGATGTCATCTGTAAGAAATATACTATAATTTCTATAATTGTTATCATTTTTCATGGTCAAATTATGAGTAAGGTTTTTCTTAAAAACACTTAATTTCTATGCTCAAATTGATGTTCATAATATGTGAAAATGAGCAAGTAAATTTCAGAATGCATTTTATTTATTTTTTTTTTTCATTTTTGTGGGTATAATAAATCTTTAGGATTTTCTATTCAGTTTCTCTATTTCCTTTGCAATCCAATGTTTAACTTATTTCTCAAAATAAACACTAACCTTAAATTTGCAGCTTTCCCCTTGAAATCTGCCATCATACTCATGAACTGAGCATGCTCCGTTCATTCCCTTACGACTGTTCATGTTGCCATTAGACAGAATCTTGGCTAAGGAATGCGCCAGCTGCGGCTTCTCGGCTACCATCAATGCAACCTTCATAATGCCTCTATTTACTGCCACCTAAATCTAACATAAACGTTGTAATAAAAAAATGAATTGGTTAATTTGAACATTGCAATACTTTAGGTTAATATTAAAAAATACATGACTGTTAGTACTGTATAGTACCCTAAAATTCCTGGCAGCAATTTAAGTAGTATTGTAGTAAAATGTCTATATATCATTGAAAATCATTTACTGAAATATGACTCATGTGGTGTTATTAAATTTGAGTTTTCTAAAATCATTTTTTGGTGGCTATAAATCAACGATATATTTTGTCTGTGAAGCAAGTAAGTATGTTGACAAATTTTAGGCTTGTAAATTGCTGGAGGGATAAAACAGTGGCAGATCCAGAAATGCCCAAAAGGGAGGGGGTGGTGATCAAAAGACAACACTACCCATGAAATTTTTGATTTTGGGAAGCGTTTTGGACGATCAATAATTTCTTTTTCTTTATTTCTTTTTTTATTTTTTTAAACTTTTTTTTTCACTTTCCAAAAGTGCGGAAGGGGCCGACCTGGCCCCCACTAAATCTGCCCCTGCCAAAATAAATATTGCACCATCTTTTGGAAGAGATGTTTCAGCTGTTGGTTCTGTGTGCAAGAGCACAGTACACTCTTCGGAAAAGAGGGGGACTGTCTCCCGGTGTTCTGCTTTATCACCACCAGAAGGTTTCCACTGAAAATTAGTCTTGTTTGGACTCTTGTTGGTTTATCGTTGGTGTTTACACACCAAATAAATCCAATCCAGTATCCTTTTAATACGAACAAGAAAGAAACTCCCCTAAAACATCATCCAGGGCCTAGCAGTTAATGCTACCATAATATAGAAAATAAAAAGCTCTCTCCTCAAAAACATATTGTATGTTTGTAAAGGGACTATTAATATTATAAACTGTCTTGATCTAGCCAAAGCTTAAACTATTAAAACTAGACCCTAATAAGTTCAACAGCGGGCAATGAAATTGATTTCACGACATTCCATAAGAACATCAGTTGAAAATACTTCCAACTTTGATCTATAGACAAGAAAGAGTGGATATGGTCCAAGTGTTTAAAATAATTAAGGGCTTTGACTCTATTTCAAGTGAAGTGTTTTTCGAATTTGACTGGGATTCACGAACAAGGGGTCATCAATACAAGATGAAATTCAGTCGTTCTAGGATTAATGTTATGGGGAATACGTTTTTCTAGAAAGGTGGTCTTGCTTTGGAAGGCACTTCCTAGTGAAGCAGTATTACGTTCATCTATTAATACTTTCAAATCAAGGCTCAATAATGAGGCATGGTCCAACCATCCACCAAAGTTTGCACCATACGCTAATAGTGATTTAATTTACAAGAGGGGCTTTTAAGCACTGAGTACTTTGCCTCGGTCCCGTAGTAGTTACGGGAAACCAGTAAACCAGTAGTCAATAATATTAATTATATTTACGCCTTAAAGAAAACAGAGGTCATTTGATTACCACAATGCTTCAGTGATTTAATTGGTTAAGAAAGACGACTATAAATATGCACATGTCTATTCAGTTGAGAAAGCCGCCTAGCCTAGGCCTTGTCTGTACTCTGCAGCTCATAAGTTGGAACGGGAGAGATATAGCACCACAAGGCCGGGATCGACTCCGAAACACAGCAAGCCTAGGCCCTAGGCTTAGCCTAGTCCTCTACACAGACAGGCATACAAAATATGGATCCTATGCCAAAATAAGCTACTCTCTCAGTTGACAGACTGGATAATCACACTAGGCAAGTGTATCTGTAATACTTAAATTCAAAATATATAAGACCAAATTCCTAATTTACCTATCGGGCATCTCTGGTCAAGAAAAGTGGTCCAAGTTTTCATAGTTTTTTAGCAGACGAGATTCACCTCGACAAAAATGATAAACCCCAAAAATGTAATATGTTAAGCAATAAAATATATTTTTGATGAATTTATCTTAAGATATATTTTTATTATATATAAAGTTATATTATAATTCCTTTTACTTACAGATAATATTTTAATATATTTATTTAATATTAATAATCTTAAGTAACATTGTCGAAGGATGCAATGTCGCCGCCCATGTGTCGTTGTTGTTTGTTTTTAATCGATCGTCGCCGTACAGCTTGCCAGGAAGGATGGTTAAGCCACATGTTTCAAAAGGGAAACAATTAATTCACAGCTCGTCGTCACGAAGTCGAAACTACAAACCGTTTCATAAAGTCTTTGGAAACGTACATGAAGGTATACTTAAAATGCAATTTGAATAACGAGGCTACCACCGACGACAGCCTAGGCTACCCTCTCTTATTAGGTACACTTCCCTGGCCTACCTATACACTCAGTCCGCCCGCCCGCCAACCGTGTCTGGTGGAAGGTAGGCCTAGGCTATGCAAGAATTAACTACCCTATGTGTCACTGGCTCTGCACATCTAGGCTACTGTGTTAACTAGTATATCAGTCGTGCAGATGATAGAGAGAGTAGGGATGGATCTGATTCTGAATCATCATCAGTCTGACACTTATCTGTAAAAAGTAATTATTAAAATTGAACATAAAGCAGTGTAAATAAATATTTCTCTGAAAATTTGCACAAAACACAAAACAAAACAAAAAGAGTTTTAACAGTATGAGTTATATTGTATTTCGAATTAATGTCAGTTTGAACAGGTAACACAAGTTTTAGTGGCAGCCAGTTCAAACATAAATGTAATTATTTTTATGAGTATTAAATAAATCAGTGAACAGTTGACTTAGAAAATTGAATAAAGTTTGCCTTTGAATGAGCTTGTGATCTCTGGCTGGACTAATTAGTCCCTAAATATTATTTCCAAGTGAACAAATAATGATAATATGTTGGATTTATATAATGCTTAATGCCAACAAGGCCTCTAAGTACAATATAATTCAATGATACAGGACAGGGTTATGCTGATAAAAGGAAGCGAAAAATTATCAATCAGTATCGAAAGATACGAAAGCATATGCTAAAAGAAAAGAAAGAATCTTCACAACAAATGCATGATGAAAAAACGGATAAAACAAGGACAGTAAAAGAAGAAACATCACCGAAGTTTAAACAGCCAAGGAAGGAAGCAGTTAGTATAATAAAGGAAAAGAAAACAAAACGTACAGATGGTAATCGGAAAAGGTATGTAAACATACAACTATCGTATTCAATTTTAAATCAGTGCTTCATCTGAATATAGGAATGATGTTTTGCCCTACTTGCAGTTACCATACTGAGTGAAAAAAATCTGGTAAGTGATTAAGTCACCAGGCTAGTTATCTGGAGGTCGTGGGTTCAATTCCAGCCTGAATCATTTACAAGATATTTGGCAACATGCTGAACATTTAGTACCATAAAACATCAGGTATGGCAAATACATCATTCCTTTTAAATCTCCTGATGCAGAACACCATTGAATATCATCTGAATGTATTTTTCACATATTTTATGAAACATTTAACCACATTTAAAAATGGAAAGTATTATATCTCATTGAAGGATATTCTGCTCCATTAGTTTGCAGAGCATTCGTAAATGTGTTAAAATACTTGCCTTCCAAATTCACAGTCCAGGATTTAGGAAGTCCTTTCCACTAAATAAATCTCATAATAAGACTCTTTATACCAAATCATGTAAAGGAATCACCCTTGGTTGTTATTAATTTGGTGATGTATGTTGTAGGTAGTAACAGTGAAATTACTATTGAGTATTGTAATACTATGTTTTTATAATTTCCTTTTTTACAGTAAATTGACAAGGTTTAGCAAAGTGGAGATGGAATTCAAGCAGCAGAAACTAATAAAAGAAAAGCAAGCACAGGTTGGTGTATATCGTTTAAATCAGCACATAATAAAAATATATATGGTGGTGAGTATTTAGTGTGATTAGACCATTAGACATGGAAGAGCGCCACCAACGTCTGGTTATATCAAGAAAATGTTTATATGTTGTTGAATTTAGGTACATGGAATTATTAAAATTTTGATACGTGGAATTATTAAAATGATCTTACTCCGGTTATACTCAACCTAGGAACAAGATTCATAGACCAAAATAAGGCTTACATATTAATCACTCATTTTTTGTGTCACAACTCACATATTGTAAATGTTTGTAATTGTAAATTTTTCAGGAAGCTCAGAAGATAAGAGAGGAAAAGAAAGCTGCCTTAGACAGATACAAATCAAGTAAAAGGGCAAGACACAAGAAGCTGAGCCAAAAATCCAAGAAAGGACAACCAATTATGAAATACCATGTTGAACATTTATTGAAAAAGATAAAGAGTGATAAATTATGATCAACTGTATATTAACGTAGCAATCCGGCATGCATTATGTCAGCCCGTAATATTCAGCTAGTAATAAGCCACTATGTGCATGGCTGATCCATGTAGGTTGAGCTACCTAAATTCCTGTTTAAAGCCCTACACATGGATCCAGACTACAACATTTATTTTACAAAAAAAACTTTCGACATGCCTATATATGGTAATGATGATATCAGATGATCATAGGTACATCCTGACTATATATGGGCATACAAAAGTTCTTTGTCAAAGAAAATTTGATAATTTGAAAATCAGTTTTTGCCACAGATTTATTTAAGTTTCTCAACATTGAGATCATTGGTCCAACCAAAGAGTATAGAATAGCAAGAAGTCCGACTGCCTTGAGTTTACTTGCACTTAAATTAACACAATGAAACAATAAAGTACTACCACAAGGTAGGGGGCGCCCTATTAGAAACAATAGATATCGAAATTCGAGCAACTTTTACGTTATTTTGCAGGGTGCCCTCTAGTTTGTCGTAGTACTTTTAAAGATAGAATTCCATTTCAAAGAGACCCAGGCAGTTGACCTCTTGCTATTCTATACTCTTTGGTTCAACCTCAGGCTATGAATTTCACTTGTCTTTGGACACTTTACCTATAATTGCCTCTCTTGAGTGCAACCAGAAGTTAAATGGGTACCCAGACCTGTCAAGTTTCACTCATCTCACGGGAGTCTCACGCATTTAACTTCGACCTCACATATTTCAGAATTTCTTTAAATTATTTTTTTTAAATGTGCTACCGGTATATTTTCTCAAAACAAGCATACAACATGTACGAACACGCCTATCGCCACCAGCGTTCCCGTAGATGAGATATGAAAGTGGCAGTTTGTATCAATGTATTCACTGTAAGGTGTATGTTATATCGACGCTTGACTGTATTGTGACCTCGCGCATAATTTTCAAAAAATGCCCAGTCTCATGCAAGCCAGTGTGAAACCCTCGACTGGTCTGGGTACCTTTTAGGATATTGTGGCATTGGAATCGCAATGCACCCCATTTGTGTATTAAAGAAGGTTACGTTTTTTGCCAGTTAGCTAATATAGATTCTATGACCTAGAATAATAACATCATGCTGGAGAAAATCGTTTATCTGTAATACTTTCCCCAGAAAATAACAATCAGAAATTGGGACAAGTGTGGTGAAGAAACCAAAGTGTGTAAAGTAAGGATGGATAAATGACCTTGCAAATGTCAAGTGACCGGAGTGGGAATCGAACCAATGACCTTAAGCTAAGCTTGCTGTGGCAACCAGTCATCATAAGCCTCATGAGAAACGATTTCTATTTTAATTTTAACAAATAAATGAAAAGAAACTTGTACTGTCACAAGTACGAGAACATGTTGGCTCATTATATGTATGTACAGTATTTTATTATCTATGGCTTTCTATGATCTGAGGAGGCTTGTTGTTGTGTTGTGTTGTATTGTGTGGTCCAGAGGGCTAAGTCCCTTGAAGCTCCAAAGTTTTATCGATTTCAGTCTTTTATCTTTCTGATTTCATACATTTTATTTCTTTTATTCTTTATTTTTCCACATATCCATGTCATGCAACAAAGTACAATACTGTACAAATTTTATATTATCCCATCATCCCATTGTTACATTCGAGGAGCCACTCCAACTCCAAAGGGGTCATTCTGCACCTTATTAGGTGCAGACTAACTCCACTTACGAGCCAAACAACTCCCCGAAAATAACAGTATTATAATGTAACAGTTCAAACATGACTGTAATCTATTTACTTCATTGTAAAAGTTATTTTGCTTCTGGAAGAGTGTGGTCAGTTATGCCAACGTATTTTTAATTCGTTTTCCTTACAGTTGGTATCAAAAATATACTTTTCCATTTGGTAAAAACATTTTACAGTATATCAATTATAAAGCATTGTTGAAGGAAGGAATGCAATTTTAATTTTTTAATCTGCATATATAGATATAGAATTTTAGAACCATTTATTATTAAATACATAATCTCTCTGTTTACAGTTTCCTAAAAGGACGAGTTTTCCTTAACAATAAAATTTACTTTCAGGGTTTCATTAACCTAAGTTTAAAAACTGTTCAAGTAGATCTTGATTATATTGCAGTACCAAAACAAATGTATAATAGACCCAAATTTCTGACAAAACATGCAATGAGAAGTGTCACCTTTAGCCATTTTTAACCAAAACCGTATTTGTACATATAAATCTGTACATAATCACATGTATTGACCATTGCACTCTTGTGACTTGCAGGTTTAAAATGTCCTTCCATTTTTAATACTACACTATTGGAATAAATAAAAGTGTTATAAATGTGTTTACAACCTTTTTTTCTTGTTGAATACTTTTAGTTTTGAATCCTGTACATGGTTGTTCCAGTCTGTTTCCCGATTCTTCCAACTGGTGGGGAAATTGCCTATTTATAACACTTTTCCAAACCATTAAACACTAAGAAATTAATTTTAATGTGTAATTTTCTTTGCAAAGCATATACAGCGAGAAATTTATCATTTTCATCTATGTCATTAATGTACTTAATTCCATTGTTATTATATACTACCTCTTGTAAAAATACACTTATCATCACTTTTAATCTGTTCGTTTTGCAGTATACTGGATATAAATACACCTTCTTTTTTTTTGAACTTATAGTAAATTCAGTGGCGGATCAAGAAATTTGAAATAGAGGGGGCCCAAAGAGGAACTTTCACAGATTGAGGATCGATACTACCTCAGCCCCACCATGGTTGGGGCTGAAGAAAAGAAAGAAAAATTTTGATTATGGCACCTCTAGATGGCCGGAAATGGAAATTTTAATATAAATTTATTTTTTTCTCATTATTTTTTTTTATTTTGAAACGCCGGCTGCCCCCCCCCCCCCTTCGAATCCGCCTATGAAATTCTTTCCATGCTTGAATGACATCCTTCCAAAAACTATTTTTTAAAATTTTAATTATTATTATTATTGTGTAACGTTTTATTCAAAAATTGAATACATTCTTCAAAGGAAGAAAAGAGCTAAAACAACCTGATGACAAAGGATCGATCATTATTATTATTATTTTTTTTTATTTTTTATTTATTTATTTATTTTTTTCAACCCGGTGGCAGGGTAGCAATTAACGCTCTCTCCAAATTTAGAAGAGCCGAAGCGTCAAAGGAGACAAAGTCCCCTACAACCCACTCACATTGTAGTAGGTGTTCGTGCTGGAGGTTCTCCGCGGAACCACATAATCTACACCTGCAGTCGCAGTTGAGATGGAAGCATGAACGCTTATAGCACCAAAGCGAGTGGAAGGCTGTGCTTAACCATCTCCCCCATACCTTCCTTTGAGACCCTGTTAGTTCCACTGAAGGGGAACGGCACCGAACTGGAGAGGTAATAGAAGCTAGAGGGGCTCCTTCGCAAAAATGTGCCTTTATCAATGGCCCCGCAGCAAGCCATATATAACATCGTCCTTACGCAGTCGCCCGCCTCTTCTAAATTTAACAATTTTAGTCTTATCCGTATTGACTGTTAGTATGTTTTCTTTACAATAATTAAAAAGCCTATTGAGTGCAGCTTGCAACTCAGGTGACTCATTAGAGCAAATCGCCAGGTCGTCAGCGTACAACAAAGTTGTATTTTAATAATAATGACATTTACATATTTATTTATTTATTTTAAAGTTGTATTTTAATAATAATGACATTTACATATTTATTTTTATTATTCTGTTTATAATTATAAGACGCCTAATTTCATACTCGGTAACGGATTTTTGGCTACTGCTAAGGGAGGGGTTCGCATGGATACCAGAGCGTTGATGTCCATTTTAACCAAAAGATATTATCCATTATTCAATGGATTTTGGTATTTATTTGTTATTTTAAATAGCTTAGTAATAACCAAAAAGATCCTCTTAAATTCAATACAGAAACCCACGAATCAGTTTATTTTACTTCGCATATAGTTGTGGTACTCATTACCCAACTGTTTACGCAATTCCTATACCGGACTGCTTAGGCCATGGCGTCGTTAAACTCACTAAATATCTTAATATTAGGCCACAGTTGTGTAGGTAATATCTGAGAATTGGTTACCTGGTATTGCTTTGCAGAGTGTTAAGTTGAATTGAATAAAGTTTGTTATCTGTATATTTTAAATTTGTTAGGACTGCACAGTTTCTTCTCTAGTTTTCTTAGTTTAGTCATGGTGTAAAATAATATCTTATACCCAACCGGGGGGGGGGAGGGGCATTGGTCCACCCACTTTTTCTACTGGGGGGGCCTGCCCCCCCCCCACCCCCAATTTTGTGAGTGTTCCCAGCACCAGTGACAAACATTTTACGAACGCTGCAATGCTATTATTATTATTATTATTATTTTTATTATTATATTTATTATTATTATATTATTATTATTATTATTATTTTTATTATTATTATTTGGTGCTTATACCTTGTTTATTTGCACCTTATAAATTGACCTATTATTATTATTATTATTATTATTATTATTATTATTATTATTATTATTATTATAAAATATAGATTTTTTTTCATTTTCTAACGAACATTACAAGTTCCTTTTTTGAGTTGAGAAACCAAATGTTGATTGACGTCTGTATACGTGCGTCTGTAAAGTTTCCTTTGAAACCCACCCTCGAGCATGAAGAAAAATTCGCCTGCATTCGTGAATTCTGTATTTAGGCATATGAGGGTAGGTAGGCAATCACTCATGGAGCAACGTTCTAGTTCTCTTTATGTAAGTAAGGTTAACTGATTGGCTTACTGTAAACCTTCAAACTAGCGTAATATAACCACAGTTAAACTCCATCTAATTTAACGAAAACATTTCATCTAGAGGTACCATAATCATAATTTTTTTTCAGCCCCACAACAGTTGTGGGGCTGAGGCGGGTGGACATTCTATTTTTCGCAAGACCCTCCCTGGAATCCCTCTATTTCGACTTCTGGACCCGCCACAGTTGGAGTATCATTTCCGGGATGACAGATATAGCAGAATGAATATTAAAGTAAATGACTTATAAAACAGTGTGAGGGTTACAGTATAGATTTAAGTGGCGGAATCGGGGAAATTTTGCAAAATAAAAAAAAAATGAGAAAAAAAAAAGAAAATTATATTCAAATTTAAGTTTCACATGGCATTTCTGGCTATCTAGAGTTGCCATAATCATACATTAATTAAAACATTTTTTTAACAATTCAAGTGATAATACAACTCATCTAGAGAGTGATAAATAATTGATTATGCTTCAGGTTGAATTTGGTATGTAAGTATAATTAAACTTGTTCCAGCAGTATGTTTCTCGAAACTCTACGTTATTTGTGTAGGCATAAGCCTGCTGCATTTCCAAAGTTAATTCATAGCATATTGTATCCTGTGTATTCATAGAACATGTTTTATTTAATTGCATATTGTTATTCCTTGCATTATATATAAATTCGTTTCTTGCACTTGTACTTGATTGCATATTTCACAATACCCTTCACGTCGTGTAAATATAACTGTAGTATTATCATTGTTATTCCTTGCATTATATATAATATTCGTGTTTCTTGCACTTAATTATTCATGGAGAAATAAGCAACTTAATTAAATCTTGAGCAATATATCATTTGCAGTTACAGACCTAAGAACATTTATCTTATTTCCAAGATGTAAAATAGTCCTACGAATTTAAATTTGGTCAATGCTACCACATTCTGTACCCAGATGGGAATGAGTGGTGGCAGGTTTGCCAGCTATTTCCAGGCATCCATAAGTACCATATTTCCAACATAGACTCTATCTCCTTGCTAACTTTATTTCTTATGGCTGCCCCTTGAGGGAAGGGGCTAGCGGCCCTACAAGTTGTCAGCATCTATTACTGGGCATTCAGAGTTGCAAAAAAATGTTGTTCAACAACCATCGTGGGTCTGGAGTAGATGCTCTCAGACCCCACTAATTTTAATCCTGTATCTGTGGATAGGGGTAGCGGGTCTTTTTACAACCAAAATTGTTAAGTACCCCACCCCCCGCTCTGACTAATGGCCGGACCACTTGCAAAATAATTCCGACGGCTATATAACATTTATAGAAGGGTAATTTTCATCCATCTGGGGGAAAGTGAAGTTTTCGTCGGGGAACCCATATCAAGGATAACCCTCATGATAAATAATTCATTGAGTTCGTGGAAGCAATCTCGACTTCGACTTTGTTCGGAAATCTGTGGCGCGTTCAAGTGGAGGGGGAGGCTAAATTGTTCAATTTTTTTAATGGAGATATAAGGAAAATTATATTCACATGTTAAGTCTGAGAGTGTAATTTCCGGCCATCTAGAGGTACCATAATAACACATTTTCTTACCTCAGCCACAACCATGGTGGGGATGAAGTGGTATAGATTCTCCATGTGCTGAAGTACCCAGTGGCGGATTCAAGGGGACCCAGCCGGCCTCCCCCACCACCTAAATTGTTCAATAAAAAAAATGGAGATATAAAGATAATTATATTCAACTTTTATGTCTGGAAGTGCAATTTCCGGCCATGGTGCCATAATCACAAATGTTCTTACCTCAGCCCCAACCATCTGTGAAAGTACCCTCACTGGGCCCTTCTATTTCGAATTCCTGGATCCGCCACTGGAAATTACAACAAATATGAAATCATTACAGTAGCTTGATGCCTATAAAATAACTTATAGAATTCACCAAACTTCGTAAGATATAGCTTCCAAGGGGCTTCCACCGGGGCCCCATGGCCCCCCAGGCTATATGATCGCTTCGCTCGCATACTGGACCTTATGAAATGCCCCCCCCCCCCGCCCACCAACGACGTTCCGCCGCCGTTGCTTATACCTCAAAGATATAATCATGGACAACGCAATCTTAGAGAGGCGTCGCACATTGTATAAACCACCATGGTAGTACAGGTAAATTTTCTGTTGCCATGATAACTAAAGCTTGGTAAGTCAGACTGGTCTCAAAGCCTATTGTTTTGGTGCGCGTGTAAATGATTATGCTAATTGCTCATTTTCAGAATTAAAATTTCCCTAATCAGGTAATTTACGCCACTTAACCACTCAAGTTTGGTAAGTCCAATTGGTTTCAAATTTGACAGAATGGAAGACGGTAATAACAAGACAGGGCCTATTGTTTTGTTACAGTACTTGTGTAAATATGCTAATTGATCATTTGCATAATTAATATTTCACTAATCAGGTTTTTGCTAAATACCATTTAATTTAGTTGAAATTGTAATAATTCTCCATGTTGTTGTCGTTGCACGATAACTAAAGTTTGATAAGTCTTTATGGTTTAATTCCTACTTATCAATTCTCA